CGAGCTGCGAGAATACAGGAATGACAAAACAAGTTAGGCATCAATCTATAAGCACGAACAGAATACGAGACGAGAGGAGAGTTATACCAATATTAACGTTCCACCCAGATCGGATCGGCCAGTCCGGGTTCCCCACCGAAGCTCGGTCGATCTTCACGAAGAAGTAGCGAGCTTCCCAGTTCGCNGTCTTGTTCCCCGGAGGACAAGCCAGAAGAACGTTCTTCAGGCTNAGGTAGAACCGACCGCTCCCGACCTTTCCTAGTCGGTTAATCTTCNCCAGTTCCTCAAGGGTGTTACAGCACACCCTCCTGCCAAGCTCGGCAGCCATGACTAGCACCCCGACCAGGTTGCGGATCGCCGCAACAGACAGCTGCGATATGGCGATCTTCCGCCGAGCACAGTACTCGACTAAAACTCGCGGGAGGGGGAACCACAACTTCCCTTCATAGAAGAAGGACTCGAGCAGACACATGAACCCCGGAGGAGGCGTCCAAGGACGATCTCCCTTCGACGGAACACGGAAGACGACATTCGAGGGAATGCCGTAAGATGCCCGGAGAGCTCTGAGTGTGCCCTCGTCCGACTGCGTCGGCAGGTTGTCCTTTGGCTGGGGAACTACCCCATCCCCAAGCCTGGGACCAGGACAACGATCGTCGTCCCCCAGTTCGAACTGGGCAGTTTCGTACTCGGGCTCGGTCGAACTGGGAGTTAAGGNTAAACTCTTCCCAACCCGGGAAGTACCTACGACCTGGGGCCGCGGAGACGAGCCCGTCAGGGGACGGGAGGTCGATCCAGGGGATCGTCNCNAACCANAAGCGACACCACCCCGATTCGAAGAACCCCTTCTGTTCTTCCTCACCANNTGAACCGAATCGACGGTACGCTCGCTGGATGACTCTCCATCCCGTCGTGGCGAGTATTCCAGACGTGGAGAATCACTGGAACCAGCCGAGACAGATTCCTCGCGTTCATTTGACCCAGACATGTTTAAAGTGAGATCGAAAAAATTGGAGATGTTGAAAGATGAAGGAAGAAGATCCAAGGAAGAGGCACGAAGCCGAGCAGGAAAGCAAAGAAAACTAGAAAGAAGTTAAAGAGAGAAAGCTAAGAAAATCTGAGAAGCAAAGTAAGAGATGAAGTAGGGAAGGGTCCCTTTTTATAGACCGAAGTCGGGCAGACGAAGAGTCATCTNGAAGCTCGCACGTCGCTTCGCATCAGCCAATCAGAAANNAGATAGGGNTGGGCCAAATATGTCACGGGCCTCAGAACCACATCGGCGAGCCCAAAGCCCACTGACTCGCCGACTGGGAGGGGGGCTACTGTTGGGCATGGGCTTCAGCAGTAGTCACTCTAGAAGCCCATTTCCGAAGAGGCCCAGCAAGCAGAAGCCCGACGAGCTCGGCCCAGAAGGTAGAGGCCCAACGAGCTCGTTTTAGTGATTAATGATTCGGGCCCGAAAGAAGCCCAGCCATCTTCTGNAGTGAATGACATCAGCGCCGGTCCCGAGGAAAACCTAGTACCTTACTCATTCTATTTTTAGTATAAATAGGAGACCCCATCCCATAAGTTAAGCATGTTTTTTCATTCTAGGACAAGCATAAAAGAATTTGAGAGTTAAAAACAATTATTCTCTGACACCGAACAGAAAAAATCTTCTGATTGAGCTCGATCGATCAAGAAATATAAGAACTGTTCACTGGTAGACATACAGGGTTTCTACTCGCTATTCCGAGAAGCCGACCTCAGATACTCATTCACCGACCTCGATTTCCACGACCCAGAATTCAGCGACCTCGTACCGTCCAAGCTCGATACACAGCTCTCCTTCTGTCACTTTTAAAATCATTTGCTGTAACCTGTCCCGAGTTAGCATCATTAAACGGGAATTTCCGATCCTTACCGAGTACAAATACATTGTCGAATACCTGAATCAACACTTGACACATTTGTTCAAAATCATTTGTCTGATTATTATGTCACAAGAATGTTTTTTGTTTCAATGATCGGTTGGTTCATATGATACAACCATGGGGTCATTAGTAACTCGTTCAAGTCATAATTTAAATGATTGTCTGAGTACTCATCCTTTTGAATCAGCAACTTCGTTTGTAATAACTGCCACAATTCAACAATTGCAATGTTTTGTTAAACAAATTACCAGTGATTAATAACCTAATCATGTTCGTTTTATTGTGGCTAGACCAACATCAGATTACAGCTCCAGTTTGTAAAACTTATTTCTGTACGATTATTAACTTCTCTTCAATGAAATTACTTTTTTCTTTAGTGTTTGCCCTAACCAATTAAATTTTGATTGATTCAGGTTTCGTTCATTTGCTTAGATGTTCTTATAAATGTGTGTTGCCACTAACAATATTCACCAATTAGTCTTTAAGAAGTACTAAAAGCGCTTTCTAAATTCCATCATCTTGTCTTTTACACAAGACTACTTCAAGAAATCATTAATCCATAATCCAAAGCTAATCGGTTTAATTAGACAATCAGATCTCAGCGTTTTTGTTTAGTTTCTGCAACTCCTATTTCGGAGATATTAAGGTAGATAACGCAGTAAATATAACATCATCGATCTGAATCTAACATCAACCAAACCAAATTTAAAATCAAGTGAGACAATAAACATTGGATCTCAGGTTCTCTAATGGTTTAATCTTCAACTCCTTGTAAGAGATTCTGCAGAATCTTCAACACAGTTATAATTAACCACAGATACCATAGATCCCAAATACGTAAACGAAAACAAAATCGAGCATAAAGTAGAGAAGCATCTCAGAATTTAAAAGCCCATTGTTTTTTCTTCACTAGCAATCATAGTGCAAGGATGACAATTTTTATGGATTCATCATCGATGCTACTCTTTATCAAAACCAATTCAAAAACAAAATCCAAGAAAAAAATAAGAACGAGTCGAAGAAAAAACTCTATAACAACAAACTAAATCAAGTAAAAATCCTAACGAAAGAATCTGTCAAATCGCCAAACAAATTTTTCTGATTATAATGGCTCGAGGAATCTTTATATAAGGCGCCGTAGAAAAAAAGAACAAACAAACCAAAGAAACCCTAATCCTCTGTTTGGTAACGAATACAACTTAATCCCTATCATTAACCGCCCTCAAAAACATACGTGCCGTTTTTAATAACGAATAGACCTTCTTAACCTCTATCACTAACTGCGTGCCGTTTTGGTTTCAAATCTCAAAAACATACGTGCCGTTTTTATAACCACCGAGCAAGCATGTCTCATCTTCGTCGTCGTGGAACCAGAAGACACCACAAGAAGATAAGTAACGAAGAAACTCTCTGAACCACACAAACCAGAAACGTGTCAAACTACTTCTGTAAAAAAATTCAGTCATCAAAAGCAATGACACGTCTTTTGAAAATTTCTCTGATTCTTGCACCAAAAGCCAAAATTGAGTTTATCAACAATATCTTCGTCTTCTTATATATATAACCATTAAAATATTTATACACATACGTTATCAAATGCTAACCACACATTTAAGAACCAAACTGATAAATAACACAAGTCCTATGGGAATAATTTTCGGCAAAACTTACATAATGGGAATGGTTTTTGGTAAAATCGTTGTAGAGACTCCAAAATACACGGTGGCTAAATCCGGCGACGGTTATGAAATCCGTGAATATCCACCGGCGGTTTCGGCGGAGCTCACTTACGATCCGTCGGAATTCAAAGGCGATAAAGACGGTGGCTTTCAGGTCTTGGCTAAGTACATAGGCGTGTTTGGCAAACCGGAGAACGAAAAGCCGTCGGAGAAAATCGCCATGACTTCTCCGGTGATCACTAAAGAAGGAGAGAAGATCGCGATGACTGCTCCGGTGATTACTAAGGAGAGTGAGAAGATCGAGATGACTTCTCCGGTTGTGACTAAAGAAGGAGGAGGAGAAGGAGGGAAGAAGATGGTGACGATGCAGTTTCTGTTGCCGGCGATGTACAAGAAGGCGGAGGATGCGCCGCGTCCGACGGATGAGAGAGTGAAGATTAGGGAGGAAGGAGGGAGAAAATACGGCGTGGTTAAGTTCAGTGGTACGGCGTCGGAGAGTGTGGTGAGTGAGAAAGTGAAGAAGCTGACTAGTGATCTTGAAAAAGATGGGTTTAAGATCACCGGAGATTTCATCCTCGCTAGGTATAATCCGCCATGGACGCTACCTCCGTTCAGGACCAACGAAGTCATGATTCCTGTTGAATGATCCCTCCAAAGTTTGAAGCTTTTGGTCACTTTTGTGTTTGTTTGTACCTTTTGGTCACTTTTGTGTTTGTTTGTAGTTTGAAAGTAACAGAACAATAATGTAAGCTTTTGATATTAAACTTCTATAGAATGAATGAATCAAACAAACTTGGGTTTTTAACAATAAAGTTGCAGAGATGTTTTTACTTATTTGAAAATCTGCGTTTTTTTAACCGGAGAGAAACTTAAAGATGATGACTACTAAGTTAAAGAGCATAAGAGGAAGCCTCATGTATTGGCAGGCGTGGATGAGACCGATGATTTGGCCTTTGAGAGAGTTTCTTTTGCCTGTTTGGTGAAGTTCCGCGAGTGTCCATCCTTTGGGAGCTAGAAACCGGTCTTCGTTGAGGATAGCAAGCGCGTTTGCAAACAGCAGCAATCCTTCCATTAGAGTCCAGAAACCCATGATTCCTCTGTGACACACCAAAGATTGAGAACGATCAAGAATCCAATTGTGGAAACATATCTAAGTATCTATCATTGGACATGAATCCAATTGAAATACTACACAGATGGTCAAGTATGAGCCACAAAAATAGCAAGGGGAAATCTTCATTCTAACAACTTGAAGGAACACAAACCAATCACAATACTATACTATAGAGGATAAACTGTTTTTCCTGTTTTTTCAATGGTGTCTTGCAAGAGAGCTACTCAGGAGATAGAATCACATAAGCAACTCCAAAATAGCAAGAAGCTAAGAACACTAAACTAAACATGGTTTTGTCATGGGATGGGTTCACAAAGAGTAAACCTTGACCACAAATCCCATGTCAGATTACAAAATTGGATCCTCATGCTCAGTTAGCTGGAGCAACAGAGATTATGAGTTATCATTCTATGTGAGGAAGGTAGTAGATAAGCCTTAGACGCGATTAAACAAAGACGATCCGATCGAATGAATATTTAGTCTAACAAAAGCTATAAGAGGGATTTAACTTACCAGAGTAAAGGAAACTTGACGTTTTTAGCTCAAGTCTTGTTAGAATCTATGGCCTAAAGTATCTGCAGAGACCAGATAATACAGATTCAATCAATCAGTCTTATGTCGTAATCTAGATTCCGTCTAAATAGACAATGAGAATTGGCTCACATACAGATCGAAACTATAATTTCATCGAAGATCCACGATTTCCAAGTAAAAAATTCAAGCAAAACTGATTTTGTTTGATCTCTCTAAAGAAAGAAACACCAAATCTCGATACCAGCTTTTACACGAATCGAGGAACGGATCGAGTTTATTCACTCAAAACGATCCGTTAAAAACGCCAGAAACTGAGAGAGTGTTGAATCAAGTCCCGGGGAATCAGCCGGTGTGGAGAGAGAATTGCCGGAGCAGAGGAGAGAGAGATATATACTTACAGGTGAGTCGAAATCGACGGCGCTGATTGAGGTTGACGGTGAGATCTTCACGACGCCTGCGATATGCTTTTCCACATTGGAACTCCCTCCTCTGGCTAATGTAAAAAGACGAAGAAAACAAAAAAAAAAACAGAACCGGGTTTTTTCGTGGGTTGACCCGATTAGGAAATATCCGGGTCAGGACCCAAACCCATGTTTTCAGTGAAAAATATTAGTTAAATCCTCTTTCTTCTTGAATCAAACTTGGGAGCTTCAAAGAACAGGTTTTATGAAAGATCAGCAAGTAAACATTGTGAAATCTTTGTAGGGGACCAAAAAGCATGTATACTCAGAATGTACAATCAATTTTTTGAGGTTACTAATTACAACAATTTTGATGAAAGAATGAATGATGATTAGCCAAAAAACACAAATCAAGGATCAATCAAATCTCTCTCTACTGCTTAACCCTTGGGATTTCTAATCTCTCGAGAGTCACAAAAGAGAACAAAAATGCTACTGTATATATCTTTGAATGCTCCTGTATGGTGTGAATCGATTCATCTACAGATTTAGCTGAGAGCTAGATCTTCCAAGAAACCGTCTTCTTCTTTCCTATATTGTACAAAGAAGGCTACAAAAAGTTGAAGTCA